ACCAAGTATCGAAATATAAGAAGGTTTCTACTGACTTATACAATCCCCGCCCATAGAACAGGCACCCTGCTAGTTAAATATCAAGATATCTCTTTTTACCCAAGACAAGGTCAGTTAGTGAAAGTAATCATTTTAACAAAGATAATAATAGTTATTTGTGCAACTAGTGAGCAAAGTGATAAATTGACTCACTCGAGAGAAATACTTACTCACGAGCCGTAGGCGAGTGAGGAATGTTTTCTCGAGTGAGGCAATTGCACTTTGCACTCGAGCTGCACATTATATTTTTCCTACAGTTACCATAAAACAAATAAATTGGTAAAGAAACGTAACATATTTTTACACAGAAGTGAACTTTTAATATGACATTTAATGATACAACAGTAAAACAGCTGACCAGCTGATTTACAGCCAGTGCTGCCAACGTATTTCGCGCACATACGACCTTGTCGCTCACTATTTTGTGCCTTCACGTTGCAAATCTGGAGTGAGACAAAGTAATTAAAATGAGACAATGTTAACATTGTCTCACTGATGAGCGAATTGGCCACTTTGCTTTCTCAAATCAGTGAGAGAACATGTACATTGTTAGGTAACTGTAGGAAAACAGTATTTTTTTACCAGGCAGAAGTACAAACAAATATTAAAAATGTAAGAAAACATCTTCATAAAAACAATAAAATTATCTTAATTTAATAATCTAAATGAGAAAAAAAATTAAATACTGATGTTTAAAATAAATGTTAAACTAATCAACATAATGGATCTAAACTGATTTGTCTCCACTTCTTCAGCCTCCTCTCCCCCAACCTCCATCGCCATCCACCCTGTCATCAGGCCTGGATATAACAGAACAAAAATTAATATTAAAAACAGTATTCTGAACAGAACAAGAATCTTTTTATGCATACTTCTATCATTATTTAATGTACTCAGTGGCCTACTGAGGGGGGGGGGGGTTTGCACCAGGCCCCACACCAACATAGGCCTCCAAATCAGGGCCGTATTCCCCTAACGGTGGACACTGCGATTGCCAAGGGCTTCGGCCTGGGAAGGGGACTCACTTGGGGCCTCAAAAGAATGCTTTTTCTCTTGGAAAATTTTCCCACAATCTGTTAGAATTAGGGGGTACAATAATCCAAGTTTGTCTTGTATTCTCATGATAGCCGAAAGCATCTGCAAAGATTGCGTGATCGAAATTTACGACTACCAGTGGGTAGTCGTAAAATATAGCCTACATTTCCTAAAAAACAAAAGCAAATTTTTGGGCACATCTCCAGTTAAAATGCTGGTTAAATACTAGTAATTCAGGAGGGTTATGCGACATAGGCTTGGGGACACGGCCCTGGATTTATAAGTATTAAATTTAAGTAAATGGCAAAACTTACCATTAGTTAGTTCTCTTCAATCTTAGTCTTTACTTCGCCCCATCCTCCATCTCCTCTTCCTCTGACACCTCTCCCCTGTATTCTCCAATGTCGGAGGATATTAATTACAACGCCCCCATTTTACTGGTAGGCTTCAGTTCTGTACAGAAATATTGCAAAAAATAGTGTTATACAAATACTTTGAGTCCAACAAATAATACAAGTCTGTACACTCCTTTCTATATTTGTGATATTCAAATAGGTACAGCTAATAGGAAAATGTTTGAGCAAATCTGGGTCAAGTTAGTACAAATATTATAATTTGTAACAATAATTTGGTTTAGACAAAATAAATTGGTTTAACACGTTCGCTACCACAATTATATAAAATTTACGTTCGCATAGACCAGCGACGCAATTGTGCGTCGACTCGTTTCTCACAATAGACCACCGACGCATATTTGCGTCAGCTGATCATATTGAAATAGACTAACGACACACACTTGCGTCGGTGTTCAATGTTATTAATCAGCGTATTTCTTAGCAACGGTCTATTTTAAAGCCCTGATTTTATCGTATCAGTCTAGAGGGATATCTGCCGCGAATGTGCGTCGCTTGGTCTGTGGATATGACGATTGGTTACGTCACACAACAGTTGGCAACATTGTTGTTTACATTGTGCATTCCGCGACATCTCAGAACAGATGTAAACGTTATAAGCTTTGCAGTTTTGGCGAGTGTTTGGAGTTTCTTTATTTGTTTGAGTAAAAGCTTGAAACAACCAAATTTACAACGACGCTTAAACGTGCGTCGCCTGGTCTATTGAAACGAAAATGTGGGTAATCTTTTTATCTGGATTTTATTAAGACTGATCGACGCATATAATGGGCGTTTTAAAATTTGCTCAAAACGATAAATAAAAACAATATTTATTGCTTACTAATTCACTTAAGGTCAATATGAAGTCAATTAGTCCATTTAAACGATATTTCTCTTTTGGTCTGTTGGCAATGTTATTCCTATATCACTTGGTCTGTAAGCAACGTCATGATCATTCCTTTTGGTCTGTAGGAGTGACCGGACCGACGCATATGAGCGTCGCTCGGTATCGAACGTGTTCAACATTAATTCTTTGTTATTTCCCAATTTGCAAAAATGCAAGCTCTAGCCTAATTAAGACATTTCCAAACAACATGTTTCGAGATGTAATCCAAATGCATTTTAAGTAGGGGCCTAGTTTTGAATGTTTATAAAAAAACTATAAATTTGCATAAAGATTAATTATCCTCCTACACATGAGAGAAATGTTTACGCACGAGCCGTAGGCGAGTGTGGAAAGTTTGTCGAGTGCAGCAATGGCAGTTTGCACTTGTGTTACACATTATATTTACCCTACAGTTACCATAAAACATATAAATAATTAGTTGTTCAAACTCTGTTCAACACAAAATGCAAATGATTCAGTTTGGATCAGTGTCTATGGTTGTCGATAATATGGAACCCACCCAAATATGGACAGTAGGCCTAGGACATAAAAATGTTCTTTCCATTTATGATAATCCAACCTAACATAACCGCCACAAAGCGCTGTATAGCCTATCTGTAGCCTCCGGATAACACTTACCAAAGTACCGATTTGAACTTTGAATAACTTAGTTAACAAACATAGCCTAGAATCTATCACAAAGGGGAAAGAATGTTGACTCATCTCACTTAAGTTATGGTTAGACCAAGGAACATTATCACGGCAGTATGGTAATTGCCTCCAGGGTCCACAACTCTGGTCTCTCTTTCTCTCTCATCTGCTGTGATGTCGATGGCAATGTCGTCCAGAAAGGTTAGTCCTCTTAACTTATTGGTTCAAGACAATATTTAAAATAGAGACCAATTTGGGTTCAGGTCAAATTACAGCCTTTGCTCCAGGATCATCTATAAAATTAACATTGATGTCATCAGCAATGAATGATATAATCCAAGTCTAGTCTTACACCAAATACAAACAGCTCTAGAATATTTTACAGCACTTAAGTTTACGTCCTACACTCATTCCAATGAATATATTTCTTTAATACTTTCTTTCTTATTACTTGGCGACCATACAAAGTAGGTATTTTAAGCCAAGTACGAATGGAAATGAGTGTAGGATCAGGATGAGTGGCGCGATCTTGTAGTCTTGTTAGTGACTAAGGCCGACATTCCTTAGACACAGCTGTTAATTAATAGCCCATACAGCTAATGGCAACTAAGGGACCTACAGTTTATAGTGGAATCCGAACCACATTATTGCCTTGGTCTATATACGAATTGGTCTAATTATCTGGATAGTACTGCGGATAGTCGTAGTACTCACTCAAGCGGACGTTAATCCACACCAGGGAGTATCGCATCCACAGTGCATGCCTATAAATATCCACAATTCGTGACCTCCTAGTAGCTGAAGCTGGATTACAGGACGACGCCACCCGTCCCAGTCATAGGCCTATTGATTATTTCATTCGATAAACTTAGGCCTATATCAATTTTGGGTAATGTTAGGGTGAAACCTAACCTAACTAACGGAATGAAATATTCAAAATATTAAATAGTCTAACTTATGTATTATCTTTCATTTGAATGAATAAAGGACATAAACTAAAGTGCAGCCGAATATTTTTACATAAACAAATTCTTAAAGTTGACACTGGGTCAATGGGAATAAGAGACAATCCTAATAGCCTAGGGATATGCCTATTCAAACATTTGCTACAATATTGCTTGATGATTCAGAATTAGCCTACGAATAAGCTGTATCTTAAGTTCTTGTTGGTGTCTTACTTTACCTTCTTGTTGGTGACTTACCTAAAGTGTCTGTTATCATGTTGATTAGCCTACATAGCCTACCTATACAAATTATTTCACATTTTTTCCCTTAAAAACTATTGTTTGTAACACACGAGTCACCAATTTTCCTGTAAGCAAGGAAAGAAATAAAAAAGATAAATATTTACAATATAAAAGTTAGGTTAATAATAACTTAACGCTTGTCGCTTAGTCAAAATGGCCACGGCCACATTATTCATTGTCCGTCGGAATTCGGAATTAAATATTGCGACTCGTGAGTTGAGGAACTGAACGATGAATTAGAACAACTCCTTTTCAAGAGTAGCTCCGAAGAACGGGAGCTTGTCGATATACTGGGACTATTTCAGTGTCGACATAGTGAAACTATTTCATTGTCGACAATATGGGATGTCGACAATTTGTGGTGTCGATCATTTGCGACGTCGGTTATTTGGGATGTCGGTTAAGTGGGAATATTCCAGTGTCGACAAACTGGGAATAATTCAGTTTCGATCAATTTCTACGGTTGTCGATATTATGGAACCCACCCAACAAAACAGCTGTTTCAACCCTACTTGCGATGTTGCCACCTTGAAGGCCTCGGCCTGGAGTTAAAGGTGGCCGTGTATAGTCACGATAATCTAAACATGTTCGATACTTTTCCTAAATGTTGGCTATTCTAAGATTATTTTAATTTTATTTACGGTTTATGGTTTCTGCCTGATTCAATCAAAGTTCAATTCAGGTGGCAGAGTCGCAATGGCAATGACCAAGAGAAAAGAATAGTGAGCCTGCGCAGCCTGTCTGTCTCTGTCTGTCTGTCTGATGGAAAGTTCGTCTGCCAATGACGTGCTGTCTGCTGTGTTTCCAATCCAAACCAAAATAACTTAACCTAGAATGTAACTGGGACCGCCCGTATATCTACATTTATAATTTTAGAACGTTTGTGATTTTTGTAAAGTTTTTTGAGTTTTGTAAAGTGCAGTGATGGCCCCAAATAAGAAACAAAAATCTTCATCTCTTAATGATTTTTTCTCACGATTTAAAGTCACATGGAAGAAATGTTGTTCTTGGAACTATGCAATATCATTACTACTAGATCCACGAAATTTTCTGATCGTATCTGTGCTATTATTCATTTTTGAAATATTAGTCAATCTAATAGTAATAAGACACGTAAAGTACACTGAAATTGACTGGGTTGCTTATATGCAGGAAGTTGAAGGTGTAATAAATGGGACTCTTGACTATAGCAAACTGAAAGGTGATACTGGACCTTTGGTGTACCCAGCAGGTTTTGTTTATTTTTTTGGACTATTGTATTTTTTGACAGAACATGGTACAAATATTAGACTCGCTCAGTACATTTTTGCTGCTTTTTACTTAATCTTATTAGCGTTAGTATTTCGTATCTACTACAAAACCAAGAAAGTGCCTCCCTATGCTATACTCCTAGCATGTTGTACTTCGTACAGGATTCATTCCATATTTGTACTTCGAATGTTCAATGATGGTGTTGCGGTCATGCTTGTTTTTGCCGCTTTAAACTTATTCCTGGACAATAGATGGACCATAGGAAGCATATTCTACAGCCTTGCTGTATCCGTAAAAATGAACATTCTATTGTTTGCCCCGGCTTTACTAATAGCTTATTACTTTTCTCTTGGTGTAAAAGGAACAATCAAACAACTTACCATTTGTGGCTTCATTCAAGTGTTATTGGGCTTACCTTTCCTATTTACAAACCCTTATTCCTACATTAAAGGTTCTTTTGACTTAGGCCGTGTGTTTCTACATCAGTGGACTGTAAATTGGAGATTTTTGCCAGAAGAATTATTTGTTAACCGATACTTTCACATTTTGCTTCTAATAATTCATTTGACATTGATATGTGCATTTATAAATTCATGGAAAACCTACCTCAGCAGCTTTGCCACACTGAAGATAATAGAAGATGATGTCAAGCCGCAGCTGAAGAAAAGGAAAGAACGTGTCAACATGGACACTAGTTCACAGTTGTTTATCTTACCATTATTTACTTGCAACTTTTTAGGTGTAGCTTGTGCTCGCTCATTACATTACCAGTTTTATGTATGGTACTTTCACACTTTGCCTTATCTTCTTTGGTCTACTCCGTACACTCCAACATGGAAACTTATTATAATGGGTGTGATTGAGTTATGTTGGAATACTTATCCCTCAACTATACTCAGTAGTGCTGCTCTTCACGTTTCACACATAGCAATAGTGTTTGGTTTGTTCAGAGCAAAGTATAAAAAATCTTAAATTGCTAAACCGGTGTTGTACATTTATCAGGAATTACAACTGAAAGAGTGGTCTGTATTTCTCTAAGGCTGCGTTTACACGAGGCCTGTTGGAGGGCAGGGTAGGTGTACTTGCCTTTAGGTGACTTGAAAATTAGAGGCAAGTAACCTGCCTAGGCTTTACTGGCTTTGTGTAAACGGGGCTTTAGGAAGAATATGGAAAACATTTCTTGTAGCCTATTTAAATTAAATCAAGACTGTAGAGTTCAAGACTATGATGATGAGGTAAGTTCTTGATACTCCAAAATCATTTTTAGAATTACTGCAGGCCCTGGAATTACATAGCGACCTGGATTAACTTTATTTATATTTGGTAAATAAAATAATATGTAGTTGGCTGGTTAAAATGTATGTGGCCTATAACTTCATGAATGATAGCAATATATATACTTTTCTTTTACAAATTAAAATACCGGTATGCTAAAAAAGGTAAAAAAGTGTACAGTAAGAAGTTAGTGACAATGGCTGCACTTTAACTTACTTTACGTCCTACACCTAATACAATAACTATGAAAACATTAGGTAAAGTTTTAACTGTGATGTGGAAGTGCCTTATACCGAGGCCTAATATTTCACCACATAGTTTTTCGCCCCTTTTTTATAATGTGCTTTGTTTTATAATATGCGTGAGTGTACATAATTTAATACTTGTAAGAATTTAAATGCAAATCTAGTCAATTCACAAGAAGGATAGGTTATGAGCAACATTATCATTGTTTGCCAACAACAAATTATTATATATAAGTGGAACCATACAATTTGTATCCAGCCACTCAAATCTGATACACTAGATTTTTTAAAACAATGACATTGCCTAAAACAGTGAATACATTGTCTTTAATGTAGAATGTTTCAGCCCTTTTTTTAAGGATCAAATTACAACATAGCATTAGGCTATCCGGTAGGCTTAATTTAACTAAGCGCCAAAAGTATCCAGACAATGCTGGAATTGTGTAGAAAATATTCCCAATAAAAAAATAAATGTAATCAGTTACAAATGTATAACACTTTTTATTAAACTCCGTTGTTAATAAACTAGAATATCCGACAGTCTCATGTGCTTCTGCACAATTCTTAACAGTAGTCTTTTCATTTATTATATTTTATAAAGACATTTTGTTTAAAATATGTTATGATTGTAAATATTGAGTACCTAGTTACCGGTACAGTAGCTACTGAGTTTATTGTTTTCTTGACCCTTTTTTCTTCCTGCAGCCCTTCGATTCCTCATCTGATTATCTGAACTTTTTAGCACCACCACAACAAAGTGTTCCTTAACCCGCGGTATATGAATTTGGGTTTTGTACAAAATAAACCAATGTTTTCATTTAAGAAAAAATATCTTAGAATTATTGTTTGTAGACTACCACTGTTTGTACTATTTGTATAGTGTGATTATGTATAATATTCACAAATTTATGTAGAAAATTAACAATAAAATTATTTTGGACAGTTAGAAAGTGGAATTTTGATTTTATTCAGTACCGTAACCCCTAAATTTCTTAAGTTTTAATTTAAATCACACAATACAAAGTTATTAAAAATCATAGCATTTTAATAAAGCAAACTATATTATTAGCCTACACTTACCATCTATATATTAATAGTATTTAATTATTTCACAACGGATTGGTCTTTTTCACGAGTACCATGAAAATAGAAAATATTGTTGAAAATAGAAAAATAACCAGCAAGTGCAAGATTTACCAATAATAAATATACATAACTTAATGGTTTAAATACCTTCAGTCTCCAGTTTAAAAGTAATTTTCTGCCACCTAGGTTTCAGCATGTTGTTGTGCCATAAGGCTTCCAGTTTGAATAATATGTCGCAGAAATCACTTATTTTGAACTATGGAGACTGAAGGTACTTAAACAATTATATTAGTTCTTTAACAGTTCAGGGCAATTCCATGTCTCATGATGTAAAACATATGAGAATAATGGTTTGAGAAATTCTCAAGTATTGAATAGGTACATTTAGATTATGAGAAGAAAACGCCACCGAACTCTAAAAACCGGACAGACTGTTGCTTTGTAAAAATCGTACGTTGGCTAGCCTATATTCCAGCTAATCATAACTCTGTTAAGTGTTAAGAAAGGTTCTATATCATATTCTCATACTCATAATGTTGCATACATTTCCATCTTTGTAAAGGTTCTCAAGCCCAAAGTTATTGATTCAACCCACTTAATATTCAAGAAGCTGGGGTTTCTTTTGAGGCTTAAAACTTCATTAGTTTCCTATTTCAAACCTATCATGAGGCATTTCTGGGTGGAGACACAAACGTTTCCAAGATTGCGGGCATTCATTGTCTATGGCGATGTTGGGAATCTCCGAATGATGTTCCTGGGATGACCACTGACCGCTCCTTTCCACACACACACATTCTTTATATTTACTTTCTAGCCTATTCGGACGCTCTTATTAGGGTATTAGTAATGGAAGCATTGAAAGGAGTATTGCAGCTAAATATATTTGAATAACATTTATGAAAACATAATTTTTACATATTCTGATATTTGGTGTAAAAATATAATTTTTTATAATCCCTGTGTAATAACCCCATCAAGTAGAATGTTAATACCAAACCTCTAAAAAAACAAATTTTCCTTAAATATACTATAGCCACAATAACTCAAATGTTTAGGTTCATCAGTCTAAGATCCCACGATGTGTCCTAATAACTTGAAGTTTTGCAAATCACCTGCGTTTTTATTCCTGTTGAGCCATGAAAATAACTACCTTTGTTTGTTTGGAAATGGCTAGTACAGTATACTGTCTGCCAGTTATTGAGATTTTGTGAACGTGTTATGTGATGTTGTCAGTTAAGCGCGGGTGTAAAACGTTGACAAAAGACTGAATAAAGAGTGACTAAGACAGTTGACGATGGGTTGAAGAAAAAAAGTGAAATTGCCTGGGACATTTAAATTCCAAATAACATTTTATTGACAATTTTGAAAAACGCGGAGAGTATGTAGCTGAAGGTGGATTGAGCAATAAGAAAATAATGAGTTTAATGACGTGGATGAATGTGTTTTGAGGTAGGTTGTTAAAACAGTATCAAATAAAAAAAATCCTATATCAGGACCGATTTTGCCACTTTAATTGTAAAAACATTTACCAAATTACAAAAAATGGCTGATTTTGTGAAAAAATGCCATGACCACTTTTACTTAGCTTTTAAACTTTCTATTGAACAATACCTAGTTTAAAAACATTGAACAATAAATAGCTGAGTAATGAGGACTTTTACTTCTAGCCTACAGGCCAGGCAAAAATAAGGCTGAGCAGTATAGCTTCGCATCACTTTGCGCCTAAAAATTGTGATTTCTCAGCTAAGCTCATTATAGCATTATAGCTATTTACAATTTGATCTTTTTGAAGTTGACGTCTTTTAATAGGGAATTTCAAATTCTATATTAAAGTGTACTCAGAATTTTGTTGTTGAATAAGTCATTTTTTAGTGGTTTATAACAATTAAAATGGCTGCCAATTTTATTAAACTAAAAATATATTTAGAGACTTTTTTTTCTTAAAAAAATTAAAACAAAAAGGCAGCAACCTCACTAATGGGGCATTTGTGGAAAAATATTTTCTTCTTGACTTTGGTTTTATTTTTCCCCAATAAACCTATGGCTGTGTTTAAACTATTAAGTAAACTAAGGCCCTTTTTCATGCCATTTTTATTGTTGACGAGGTCTATTGAAACTTAGTTATTTAACAACCAATAAAGATTTATGATTTAAATTTGTTGTACCTATTTATGGGACCCAATATATAATTAAAACTTAGGTAGGTAGTTATAAAAAAAAAAAAACACTTTTGAGCCAGAACTTGTTTTTTATTCAGTTTATTTAAGCAGCCTTTTTATCTTCTTTTTTGAGGTTTATGTCGAGTCTTTTCTTTTCCACATAGTGAGCGATGCGAGCTTCCAAACTCTCTGTAAAAACATACAAAAATGTGAGAATAGATATCCAAGACATACAACTAATAAAATACCCCCGCTGCAGCAAACCTGCAGAGAAACCAAATTTCTATTTGCCTAATTCTTTTTCAACTAAAATATTTCCTAAAATAATGTCAGATTTATTTCCTAGGTTCAATGAGTTAATAGGATTGCTGTTGCAGGGAAGTAAATAAAGTGTTTTCAGATGATTGCTCGAAATGGAGTAATTGCAAAGTAAAGTAGTTATTAAAAAACGAATAAAAGTCATAATTTTCGATGAGTTTAAAAGACTCAACTCATAGATTACGTATTATAGATAGATATATATCATAGATTCATATTACCTATCAGTTCCATATAATCAAAATTTCTTGTAAATATTTTATCATTTTTAAAAGCTGATCTGGTTTTTTTTAACCAGATCTGCATCTGCATGGTACCACCCATTGTCACCAGTAGCCCACGTTTAAAAATTTCAGTAATTTTTTTATAGCGATTTTGTTTGCATTACTTAAGAATTACCTGATGTTCTGCATAACCTCTCTGTCACAATTGTATTTGCTACAATTGGCATTACTTTGGCTAGTTACCTGAGTTACTGTTATAGCGTAAATTATATTTACCTGAAAAAAATCAGAATTGAAAGGCCTAATGTTGTTCAGATGGATTTTTGTTTCCCTTAAATGTGAATAATGTGAATCCTTCAATGAAAGTTTTATTAAGCTTTCTTGGATGTAATCTTATTCTTTTAAAATCACTTGACTTTTATGAAAAACTATTAATGTCCTTGCCGTACCAGATTAATTCAGCCGTAAAGGGGTTTCCTTTGCCAATCATCGTAAAGTTAAGTCCATGTTTCCTACAAAATAGTAGCACTTTGACTAACAACATCCTTCTTCATTGTTTGTGGTAATCTTCATATAATAGGTGTTCTTCATTATACAGGTTGATAACGAAAGTAATTTAAAAAAGAAATCTCTATTTCTTCCACTTGGTGTCGTTCTATGACTATCCTATCCATGGTTAACACCCGGTTCTTTCAATGATTGCTCAAGAAATACAGTAGGCCTACTATATCAATCCATTTTTTCTTATTTGGTAAAAAACATCAAATTGTCCAGGCTTTCTCGATTTTATATTGTAATATGTACGAATGTAAATTAAAATAGTAAATATTTAATTTCAACAAAATCGGTAAATGTGTTTCACTGAATTGAAATAGTATATTACGTTACTAGTCCTGAAAATAAGTGTTTACGGGACGAGTGTGGTCGTTCCCGTGCGAGACAAAGTCGAGTACGGGATTACCTTACGAGTCCGGTACACACATTTTGAACGAGTTACGTACGATAATTTACGCCATACGACTAAATCCGTACAAATCCTTATATGTTTCCACCAACTAAAGGACTAACAATCACTAGTCATAAGCTCTAAGAGAGGTTATGTTTTTGTTTATAACCACTCACTGCCATCTAAATACAGTATAATCAGCTGATTGGTGTCCGGTAAAACTCTTTGCAGTACAGTAGTATGCAATGAAACCCCATTTGATTAAGCTGGCGGCAAACAGCTGTTTTCTGGACTAAATCCTTGCGTGGGAAGTTCGTCTAAATAATGTAGTGTGGCGTAAAATAAATAACAGCAATTAAATTATACAGCTGATCAAAATGTAAACAATTATGATCTTCATAGGGATAACATGGGAACTTTAACAGCCACTGGGGCAGAGCCCAAGGGACTATTTCAAAAATGTAAAGTCAGTTTGCAAATCTACGTGACACTCTTTCCAATAGATGAAATTGGTTAAGAAATGGCGGAGGAGTTCAACCGACAAAGTTTCATGTAGCGAATTAATTATATAGATAGCTTAGTAAATAACTTCTTAATCAGCATAATATGTGATATTAATTTTACGGGGTGTAAATAGTACAATGTTTCAAGTGTTATTAGACATTTATTTAATCTCTGTAATAGCTTAGTATGAAATAACAAGGTGTACAATGCACATCTGCAAAGTTAATGCTACATCTGTTTCTCTTAAATGAGATATATACTTGCAGTATCGATGGTACAATAAATTGGTTCATACAGTATAAATGGAATGTCTACTTGCAGTATCCAAACTTAATGGTATCTTTGGTTCACATTAACTTAATGGAATTCCTATTTGCAGTACCTATTCAAAGACTGCATTAATGGTACGTCTAGTGCAGAACTCAATATTCCGGTGACCCTAATTATTGGTTATTCATTTTGTATTAAATTATGCTCAATGATAATAATCCGATTGTTCTTCCCTTTTTCTTTGTAATGTGCTACTTTAGATGATTCGTTGACTAACATAATATGTTGCTACTTTTGTTTACCTTTTTATTGTTACTGGTATCTTCCAAATAATGTCATGGCGACCAATTAAGCTCTAAGGTCCATGTCAAATTCCTAAAAGTTTCAATTAAACTTAGAGAAAAGCTCTGTGGTCCAATGTAAGTACA